GTCGGGATAGCGGGAGGGGGGAAGTTGGGATAGGGCGGTGGAACATCGGGGGAGGTGTGAAAGTCGGGATAGGGGTGATAGTAAGGGAGGAGAGGAGGAGGAAGAAGAAGAAGAAGAAGAAGAAGAAGAAGAAGAAGAAGAAGAAGAAGAAGAAGAAGAAGAAGAAGAAGAATCAATCAATCAAACAATCAATCAATCAATCAATCAGTCAATCTATCGATGTGGACGGATTGTTTCGTTCAAGATTCGTCGATATCGACGGATCTTGAACGAAATGATCCGTCGACATCGACGAATTAATTGATTGATTGATTGATTGATTGATTGATTGATTGTTAGATTGTTCAATTGTTCGATTGATTGATTGATTGATTGATTGATTGATTGATTGATTGATTGATTGATTGATTGATTGATTGATTGATTGATTGATTGTTCCTTCTTCTTCTCCTTCTTCTTCTTATTCTTAGTCTTCCCCACGCCACCTCATCCCGCCTCCCCACGCCACCTCCTCCCGCCTCCGCCCGCCTCCTCCCCCCCCCCCCCCCCCCCCCCCCCCCCCCGCCTCCGCACCTCCTCCCGCCTCCTGCAGCATCCGCCCGCACCTCTCCCCGCCTCCGCACCTCTCCCCGCCTCCGCACCTCTCCCTGTCTCCGCACCTCTCCCCGCCTCCGCCCGCACCTCCTCCCGCCTGTGGCCGCATCCGCCCACCCCCGCTCGCAATCAATCAATCAATCAATCAATCAATCAATCAATCAATCAATCAATCAATCAATCAATCAATCAATCAATCAATCAATCAATCAATCAACCAACCAACCAACCAACCAACCAATCAACCAATCAATCAATCAATCAATCAATCAATCAATTAATCAATCAATCAATAGATGATTGACCCCGTCGGGGTCGACGGTTCCTTTAGTTCAAGAAGGACTATGAGGAGATGGAGGAGGAGATGGAGGAGGAGGAGATGGAGTACGAGGAGATGGAGGAGGAATGGAAGTAGGAGGAGATGGAGTAGGAAATGAAGGAGGAGTACGAGGAGATGGAGTACGATATGGAGGAGATTGAGGATGACAAGAAGGAGGAGATAGAGTAGGATATGGAGTAGGAGATGGAGGAGGAGATGAAGGAGGAAATGAGGTGGGAGGAGATGGAGGACGAGATGGAGTAGGAGGAGATGGAGTACGAGATGGAGGAGGAGATGGAGTAGGAGATGGAGGAGGAGATGAGATGGGAGGAGATGTAGTAGGAAATTTTGTGGGAGATGGAGATGGAGTAGGAAATGGAGTAGGAGACGAAGTAGGAGAGATGGATTACGAGAAGTCGGGATAGGGCGATGGAGAAGCAGATGGAGGAGGAGATGGACGAGGAGGAGATGGAGTAGGAGATGAGGAGGAGATGAAGTAGGAGGAGATGGGTAGGAGATGGAGGAGGAGATAGAGTACGAAGAGATGGAGTACGATATGAAGGAGATCGAGGAGGAGATGGAGTAGGAGATGGGGGAGGAGATTGAGGAGATGGAGTACAAGGAGATTGAGGATGACATGGAGGAGGAGATGGAGGAGGAGATGGAGGAGGAGATGGAGGAGGAGATGGAGGAGGGGATGGAGGAAGAGATAGAGTGGGAGGAGATGGAGAAGGAGATGGAGTTGGAGGAGATAGCGGGAAGGGGAGACAGCGGAAGGGGAAGATAGCGGGAGGGGGAGATGGAGTAGGAGATGGAGGAGGAGATGAAGTAGGAGGAGATGGAGTAGGACATGGAGGAGGAGATGGAGTAGGAGATGGAGGAGGGGATGGAGAAGGAGATGGAGTAGGACATGGAGGACATGAAGAAGGAGAAGATCAATCAAACAACCAATCAATCAAACAATAAATCAATCATTCTTTCAATCACTCAATCAATCAGCAATCAATCAAACAATCAATCAATCAATCAATCAATCAATCAATCAATCAATCAATCAAGTTCAATCAACAAACATTTCATCCGTACAGGATGTCATTTCTAATTGTTCTCCCTTCCTTCTTTTCTTTCCATGCAGTAGACGCGGACAAGTCGACGTTCTACAGAGTACAGGCTGAACAGGCGTGCGTCGGCAGTAGTGCATAGCTCGAGACAGTAGTCGTGCTTTCACCGCACCACTGTCACCTTTTTGGAGCTATGGCATCCGCTAGTACACGGCGTAGAGGTGACCCGCTACCACCATTTGTGCCTGTACCTCAGCACAAGCAGGATGAATTGAGGCGCGGTCATGTGGTATGGGAGTGGGTCGAGAGGGGCCAGGAGTGGGGGAACTCAGGCGGGGGCAACTTCCTTATTCGTTGCCGTCTGTGCCGGGAGGTTTTCACGGGATCCAGGTCTCGTGGAGTTGAGCATTTCACCAAGCAGAAGACGTACTGCCCACGCCGGACTGGAGAGATGTTGTACGAGTTGCAAAGGGCGGGGGTAATACTTAGAGATGCCATCTCGCGGCGCCTGGCTTCAGTACGCGGAGAGGGTGGAGGGTGTTATGGCTGCGGACGACCTCCGTCATTACATGGAGGCGGAGGGGGGCAAAGAGGAGGAGCGTACGACGCCGGAGACACCTTCACGTGCTGGAGGGGCGGATGCATCGCTTACCGGAGGGGCAGATGGTGGCGATACATGTGGGGGGACGATCAACCTGGACGACGATTTGGATGCAGCTCGTCAGCGTGGCGGCGGGTCACGAAGCGGCACTCAGCCTGCGGGTTTTCAGGATGCGCCACCCGTGTAGCAGGAAGTGTGGGAGGTGTGAGTGGTGGTATTAAGGCAGGCGGCCGTAATGTTAATGCAGCACCCGCGTCCACATCCGTAGTGGGTAGGCAACAATCGACTCTGGATCCCCATATATCCAAATGAATCTTGATCGGTTGTGGGCCCTCGTTATCTATCGTGGTGGAGTGGCGTTCATCTGGCTGCGTTTGCCCGAGACGCACCAGTTGTGGGATTACATATGCACTCTATTTCGTCCCATGATAGTACCAGTTCCATGACTCCTCTCGTATGAGGGGGTCCGCACGAGGATGATGGATATTATCTTCCATGAGGTCGCAACCCTCATCGTCCCTAAGAAGGCAAAGTGGGCTACTTCCGGCTGCACGCTGATGACGGACGGGGCTACTGACACGACAAACAAGTCTATTATGAACTTCATCGCAGCAGGGGACTCCGGACCCATCCTCATCCAGACAATTGACATGTCGCATCGCGACAAGACTGGCGTTAGCTTAGCAGAGATCTGGGAGGACGTGATTCGACATGACATTGGCATCGAGAATGTCAATGCGATATGCACGGACAACGCCGAGGTCATGAAAACCGCGGCGCACACATTACAGATACACCCAGATCCCGCTATGCGTCGCATTCCCTGGATCCCGTATGCAGCACACTGCCTGAGTTTGCTGCTGAGGGACATTGCCGCAGAGCCTTTCGAGTGACACATGATGAAAGACGCGCACAAGATTGTAAGTTCATGCGGAACAAACAAAAAATGCTTGCACTTCACAAAGTAATGAAGAAGGCGCTGGTGCTCAGGCGACCGGCGGAGACGCGTTTCGGCACAGCATACATGATGCTGGAGAGGCTGTAGGACCAGAGGGAGGTCTTGGACATATTGGTGTCGTCGGAGACGTGGGCTAGGGTGTGATGGGCCGGGGATGCTCAAGAGCGGATGCCTCATGTTCGGAGGCTCTGCAGGGATGACGGCTTTTGGAGTGGCGAGAGGACGGTGATAAACGCCATGGGTCCCGTTTACGCGTTCCTCGGGGATCTTGACAGGGACGGCTCATCACCCACTGGCCTGTGGGATTTGGAGGCCATCCTCCGGCAGAGACTTCGTTCACTACGGCTGTCGGACTTTGACAGGGACGTGGTGATGACCATCGTGAGGGATCGGTGCGCGATGATGCGGCAGCGTGCTCATGCAGCTGCTTACCTGCTGGATCCGCGGCGGCGCGACATTTCATTGCTTGAGGATCGTAGCAGGTCTGTTGTGAAGTCGGCGCTAGAGCACTTTGCTCGCATTGTCGGAGGGTGGGACACGAAGGCCATGGAAGATTTGTGGGAGACCCTGTGGACTTTTCACAATGACGACCCGTGATATTAGCCAAAGGCTGCTCAGCACTGGTGGGACCAGTTCGCTACCACCGACGCGAAGAAGATGCATCCCTCGACGTGGTGGGGGCTTCACGGTGGCCAGCAGCCCATTTTGCAGAGCATTGCACGGGCAGTGGTGGGCATGTGGTCCACGACCAGTCCTTGTGAGAGGAACTGGGCCACCCACGATTTCGTTCACACGAAATTGAGGAACCGCCTGTCCCCTTGTAGCGTTGAGAAGCTCGTGTTTAGCCATTGGAACTTGCAGCTCCTCAGTGCGAGCAAGCGGATGGACGGCAGGTACGTGGACATCTGGGCGGACCAAGTTGAGGAGGAGGAGGTCGCTTTGGACGAGGACGACGCCATCCCTGCAGATGTGCCGCAGGAGGAGGCCGAGGCGATTGAGAGGAGCAACAGGAGGAAGGAGGGTCGCAATCGAGCTGGTAAGGGCAAGGCACCGGCAGTGGACTCAAAGGACGAGGAGGACGACATGTTTGATGACCTCGTGTGGATGCACCAAGGGATCAGGAACGAGGCAGAGGCAAAGAGGGGGGCTGGGATGATTCTTCCAGAGGATCAGCACGACTTGCTGGACGAGTTGGGGGGACACGATCCGCACGACGACTTCGACGCCTACGTTGGTGGCACCATGCACACCGTGGTGTCCATGCGCAAGAGGGTTGGCGGCGAGGTTGATATGGAGGAGTTGCTGGCCCGTGATATGCAGACATAGGAGGACGAGGGAATGCAGGATCCGACACGGACGCAGGAGGTTCCAGTTTCGATGAGTCCCACAACAGCAGGTACTGGTGTTGTCGACCCCTCTTCTGTCGCCCCAGCGACACATACGTCCCAGCCCCCCATGGAGCACGGGGTCGATACAGACACGCAGGCGGAGAGGGAGAGGAGGGTGCCTCAGCGTCCTGAGGTTCCGCGACATGAGAGGGACAAGCATAGGGTGGAGCAGTTGCCACGGCAGGTCGTTGTGGAGCAGGTGGCACATCAGTTTGCAGAGGCAGAGCACGCCTCTCAGATCATCTCTCAGTCAGTTGGGCTGCTTGGCTCACTCCGTCCGCATGCCGCCACAGGTTCACGTGCAGTGGTGCAGTCGTGTGAGCAACGCGTGCAGGAGAGGGTGGACCCGGGAGCACCATCGACCTTACAGCACGAGCCCCTGGAGCGGCGACATCGACCAGGACTTGAGCAGCGGGTGGAGCAGACGGCGGATCGTACAGTGCACAACACAGCGGATGACAGGTCGGAGTGCAGGGTAGAGCCGAGGGTTGAGCAGAGAGCGGGGCAGAGGGTGGAGCAGCGGGTGGATCAGAGGATGAGGGACGTGGTAGAGGTTACAGTTGATGTGACCTTGGACCAGGCCAGGGATCGAAGGATGGAGGAGATTACCCGTGGGCGGCCGGTGATTGCCACTCTGGCGAGAGCGTCATCCGCGACGATGTGACATGCAGGCATACGGAGCAGAGGTTGCATAGGGACAGTGCTGCTGAAAATCGACGTAGTTTGGATGGGATTCGCAGAGGTGGAGGCGACAGTGCACGACGTGCTGACACGGGCATTCCACCATCGACTCCATAGGACACGTCTCCGTCTTCACACGATGTTCTCACGCGGCGCACTTTCTACGGGATCCCGCCACTGCCATTGCGCACGATATCACCACCGACTCCAGGGACGACTCCAGGGATTCATTTAGGGAGGCCTACGACACTCGGCGTAGGTGGCGAACACCCTACCACACATGAGCGCGCACCGAGTTCTGCACATACTACCCCTTCGTCATCATCCAATGGTAGCACCCCACCTGCACTTACATTCGGTCCACCATGCCTTCCTCTTCATGCATCTCGCCCGTCCACCTCCGGGACAGCCAGGGATATTCCGCCTGCGCGTAGTCCGTTGGGCATGCCGCCACTCCGGACACGAGTCTCCTCCGCTATTGTTGATAACATCACGACTAGTCGTGTAGGCAGGAAGACGAGGAGGGAGGAGGATGACGGACGAGAGCATGCACGTGCACGTGGAGGAGGCCGTGCCAGCGGGAGAGGACGACGACGGTCACCAGGCATATGCCAAGGGAGAGGTCGCCCACCTGCCTCAGGACGAGATTTATGGGCCATGAGCCAGTTGGGTGTGGAGGACGCCGGTGAGGGAGCTGTGGTGGATGGGACCAAAGCAAGGGGTTCACCAGCAGTGGGTGTACGCACGAGGACGCGGTCGTTGGTTTCAGGTGGGCAGCGGAGAGAGACTCGTATCCTTGAAGATGATCTAGAGAGCGGTGATGATTCTTCTGGCAGTGACTACGCAAGGGAGAGGGATAGTGAGATGGGGAGGGGGGATGATTCTGAGGATTGTAACGGAGAGGAGTAGAGAGATGTTCTGACATCTGCCACAGTCACAGCCTTGGTGACCATGTACATCCTTTCCTTTTGCAGTGCCACGCCCATAGCAGTTGCCCTGTCAGTGATGTCCATTCGCATACCATATACTTGTCGAGTGCGCACTCAGTCATGAAGTCGGTCAATCATGCCGTCTATGCGCGTCTGTTTGTGTTTGTGTGTGTGTGGGTGTTTGTGCGTGTGTGCGTGTGTGCTTGTGCGCTTGTGCTTGTCACGTCTGT